TGAAAGAGGAGACCAGGAGGGCGGTGGGATATTCTCGGGGAGAAATGGGGCCAGAGGATCAGACAGCGACAGAGCCACACCGTGAGCTGACAGATGAGAATGTGACTGTAGAACAACCCACTGTGGACACGCCTCAAAACTAGAGAGACAGGCGCTAAATAGAAATACTGGTTTTACCTTGACAAGCTCTGCAGAGAGGATTCTCATTAGACACCTGCTGGGGCTGAAAAAATGCCACAGGCCATGGATGCTGTCTGGCAGGGAAATTTGCAGTTGCAAATACTTCTTAACTTTGAAACTAGCAATCAACCAGTTCTGGTAATACAGTTAAGTTTCCCTGTATTTCAGGCTCTAAAGACAATGCTACAAAGTCACATTAGCAGAAGGACTTGTTTTTGAGGATCAGCAAGAGTTCCTTTCTTTGCTGAATTGTATGTTTCCAACGGTGGTCACCTGTTTCCCATGTGATCAGCCCCATTCTTGATCCTCAGACTGTCTCTTTCTAGCATGTGCTTTGAAACCCAACTTGACTACTTTTCCCCTTTATAGTCAACTACCTTAAAAAAGTTATTTATTTTCAAAGGGCAGATTAATTTTTTTTTTGCCTTTGAGTTATACAAAAAAAGCAGATTTTCTAATTTCTTAATTAAAAAGCAAGGAGCCAAAAAAGCCAACCCAAACAAACAAAACGTGAAGAAAACTAATGATTTCATTATCACAAATTTAAAGAATAGGTATCTTAGTGGAGATAGCGTAAACTAATGGTGACAAGTGAGGACTCTAGAATAAAATGAAATGGATAGAGTCTATCTAGATATTTCACCATGACTAAGTTATTTAACTTCTCTGAATTTCCTTTTCCTCCTCTATGAAAAAGAAAGAATAAAGATACTAGTACTGTAAATTTTTCCAAAAATGGCACCTGCCATTATCACCTAAGTGTGATTGTCAGACTGTGAAGTTCAGCTATCACATAAATTGATTATCCTTCATTCCAGTGGCTCCTGTGGGGTACCTAATCGCAGGTACCTTATGCAGAAGGAATAGATTATTCATGCAATGTTTAATATTTTATTTCTGGAGCCAGGATGGCTGGAGAGGTGATTGATAAAGACTCAGAAAAGTAGGAGACAATATTTTTTGCTTCTACCACCCTTTTCTTCTGGGGTCAGCCATCCTTCTAAGAAGAATACCTTTTGAAAATTATTCATCTCAGATCATATTGGTTATGCAACGAGCTCTGCTGGGTATACTGTCCTTCCAGAATGGAAAGGAAGTTAATGCCCAGCCACTCCTAATCCTACATTATATCTGCTGTGCACATACTGATGTTGGAGATAAGTTGGATGAGGATGACAACAAGAGAAGAAGAAAGATAGTTTAGGGGAGCAAGCGGGCTTCTATCTACTGGCTGAAGAACTGAGAAAATGCATGAGACAATCTCCAAGTTAATTATGGTTTTCTGGATTAAATGGAAGCAAATGCCAAAGCAGATATATTTCTGCGTATCTTCCCCGGCATGTACCTAGCTGTGGTCCAAGTCCAGGTTCATGCTTCCTCCAGCATCCACCGGGCCATTAACCACTGTCACTTTCTATTAATCACGCATGGTGTCTTTCAAACTGTTGTCTGTTTCCTTTTAAAAATGTCCACAGAACAACAGACACCGAGAACACGCTAAAACTCCCAAGTCTCAAGTTAAGAGTTCTGCTAGAATTCTCAGTTTATTAATTTCTTCTGACATGGCCCAGATGTCTCTAGAGTAATTAGTAACAGAACGGGGTTAACGTGGCTGCCTCATGGTGATGCAGATTGTGACGGAGGGTTCACTTACAAAAACGAAGCAAGTTCAATCGAGTTTAATCCCGAAGGGGAAGCACCACACTTGTACCCTGTACACATCTGTGCCTGTCTCTTCGTCATCATATTTAAGTGGCTACCAGGTACAATACGGTAAGAGATCATCAGCTTTCACATATATATATTTTTTTATCCATTTGGCCCAAGCTCTATGGAAGCGAGATGTACAGATAATGGGTAAAATTCACTCTCTTGGGAAAGAACAAGGGGAGCCAGAGAGACAAGGCTAACAGAGCAAGAGAATCCTGGAAACACCAGGCTGTGGCTGAAGTTCTTAATTAGGTAAATAAATTACAGGGCACTGTTTCTTTTTTAAAGAAAATACTGTCAAGTCTTCTTTTATTTTGATTTTTTTAAAAAGACTTCTGGTGTGGGCCATGTTTAAAGTCTTTACTGTATTTGTTACAATATGACTTCTGTTTTTCATGCTTTGGTCTTTTTGGCCACGAGGCATGTGGGGTCTTAGTTCCCCGACCAGGGATCGAACTCACACCCTATGCACTGGAAGGCAAAGTCCCAACCACGGGACCACCAGGGGAGTCCCTGCTAATTCTTCTTTTAAAATGTCTTATTTACTCATCCATTCTCTCTCTTCCCACTGCCATCAGTTGATCATTTCAGCTTCTGTTTCAACAACTGGAGCGGCCTCTGAAAGTGTCTCTCTGCCTCACATTGTTCGATTTAACTCAACTAGTACTTCTGGAGAATGAGGCACACAGGTGGCTTCCCTGGCTTCTCAGTTCGGCTGTCAACCTTCTCTTCTTCTGGTTCATTTTACACAAGGACCCAGGAATGTATTTTAAAGTCTAGTTTTCACCCCATCACTCACTCCCCAGCTCAAAAACTTCCAAAGGCTCCCCACTGCATTGGGAATAAAATCTAAATGCTCCCATGGTAGGTAGGCCTAGAAAACCCTCTCTCAACAGAGCCCAAGATGGGCCCCCATCCCAGCGCCGCCTCCTTGTCACTGGCCCGAAGCAGGGCCACCTCCGAGCCTTTCCTCATTCTCTTTAAGTCCTTCATGCCTTAAGGGTGGGCTCGAGTTTCATGCTCTCCAGGAGCCTTTTTATCAGACTGTGCTGAACTGCAGGGTTTACACCAACAGTAGTTATTCTGGCATTCTACTTCTGAGTATATATTCATAATTGTATATATACATATACATATGTACTGAACTGTCATATTTTGATACCTAGCACAGTATTCTGCCTACAGTTAGGTGTGCTGAATAAATATGTACTATATATAGGAGTTTATTTTTTCAATATTTAAGCTTTCTCAAGGGAACTTTGGCATCTCAGTCTTAAAATGTACATGGACCTTAAAAGTACATAATTTGCTTCTAGAATCAGAATGAGCAATTCTCATACCAGGAATAAGTGAGGAAAAACTCAGAAATGCTTATAAAAATAAATGTACATTGTTGAGATATTGAGTTTTTATAATAAGGAAGATAGAAACCCCTTAAAAGGCTTCCTCATTTAATTAATGGCAACCCATTACCATCTGGTACTTTTGCCTGGAAAATCCCATGGATGGAGGAGCCTGATAGGCTACAATCCAGGGAGTCACAGAGTCAGACAGGACTGACTGACTTCACTTTCTTTCACTTACAATGTAGCTAACAAAATCACTTTGTGGAGTATTTTAGTAACATGAGGACCGGTTCATAAGACATCAGTGAGGGCAAAGAAAAAGTAAATGCGTATTTGACTTTTTTTTGTTAGATAAATGATATACAGTGGTTATGTTTACAGGGAGGCTTAAGAAGGCCCTTTTCCTTTGTGATTTTCTCTGCATTTAAATTTGGGAACACTCAAGTGTTACTTCTGTGTTGAACAGTTTAATTGGAAACTTGCTCTTTTGAACCAAAAACACTGACTTGGACGGATATGCACTTTGATAGAGGAGCCTGACACAAACTTCTATTTGAATTGTAATCTAATAAGCCTCTGCATCATGGGAGAGACATCCTGTGACCATGGAAACAACAGTGATTGATTTAGGAATTGGGAAACACAGGGTCTAATTTTGGCTTTACTGCAGAATTCCCACCAGTTCTGGAAAAGTCACTTCTCTTCTTGAACCTCAGTTTTTTAATGATAAAATAAACAGATATTCTTGCACCCCCATTCCAACTTGTGAAAATGTATAGAGATCAATTAGAGACTATTTATAAAAATGGCAAATATATTATAAAAAGGAAGTCAATCAGTATCACGTGGGATTATTATCAAGGTTGGAGAAACATCCCTCTGAAATCATGAACCTCTGATCATACCGCAACTTTAAATCACAAAGTGGTACCCAATTCACGTGCTAATGTACAGCCAAGTGCAATTCTACTAAATGCCCAATTTAATAACTGTCGGTGCACTTGTTAACTAACATTGAACAATGAATTTTAAAGTCATTTCAGGTTATTACAAAATATTGAACACAGTCCCCTGTGCTATACAGTAAACCCTTGATGCTTATCAAGCTTATCTATTTTCTGTAGAGTAGTTTGTATCTGTTAATCCCACTGATAATCTGAAAAAATATATATAACTGAATCATTTTGCCATATACCCGATTTATAACAGTATCATAAATCAACCACACTTCAATTAAAAAGCAGTCATTTCAGGGCAACACTCCTCTTAAAAGTATTTTCCACAACATTTTGCAAATTACTATCTTTGCTTTTTTTTTTCTTCCCCAAAGAGAAGAGCACAGGTATACACTGTAAAAGAAGAAATACACTGGGCTTCAAATCAAGTGTTTAAAGACAAAATATTGAACGCTTAAGCAAACTCATGATGAAGAGAAGAGGTGCTCCTCTATCTCTACAAAGATTTGGACAGTGAATTTAACCCACCTAGGTGGGCAAACTTTTGACTTAGCCACATCAATGCCAATGTACATACTTACAGGTGCACACGACTGGAGGCTCTCAGCACGTGGCTGGCAGTGTATACCGCATGCCTCTGAACACACACACACAAACCCAGGTCACAACGGCGTGTACCAAGACACACACAGAAACACCCACGTGTCCCACAGGGTGACCTCGCCCAAGGTTCTCAGGTAAGAAGCAAGAAAGGATCCCGTGAAGGGAAGGCAGGGCGGCGGGGCCCCTGGAAGACGTGCTGACTCACCTGGTAAGTGGTTGCCAATCCTGGCAGTGGGTTTGGGAGGCAGGGCGGGGGGCTGCTTGAGGAGAGAGAGCTGCTTCACGGGGGTGTCCTCGTGGTCTCCGGGGGAAGCAGCAGGTTTTTTGGGGGGCAGGAACAGGACTGGTTTGGCTGAAGGATCTTGGGACAGGAGGGCTGCAGACTCACTGGCAGAGGGACTCTCTTCGGACACTGGGGGGACAACGACAGGTCACACACGACATTAAACACGCAGTGCGGGGGGCTGGTGGCAGCGCGGGGACAGGACAGGCAGCAGCGCAGCCAGGCGCCCGCGGCTCAGGGCTCACGGACGGCGGGGCGACCGAGAGAGGACCCGGAGAGCCAGGCAAGCCGGGCTGAGGTGGGGGACACAGCGGGGAGGCAGAGACAGGAGACGGAGAGGACCGCAAGGAGCAGGAGGAAAAAAGGAAGAGGACGCTTCCTCAAACCATCCACAGCGTCACCCCTTCAACCCGGGCGTTTACAGGACACGTTCCAACACGTGACTCACGGGACCATGGCGACAGCCAACACATGGGCAGGTGCAACGGATCAAGGACTAGGAGCCCCTCTGAACCAGACCACCGCCAATGCCGGCATCTCCTCTGGGTGTGTCTGCCCTTTGCTCCCGGGTCTGAGGACCGCCTGGGAGCGGACACTGGGCGGGCGACCCCCACATCCTGGGGTGGCTGCTCCTCCAGGTTCGGGGCCGCCCACGCTGGGCATCGTGTTCAGGGGGCGCTCTACAGTTTCAGGGGCACTGGCTCCTACTGGCTCCTATCCACCTGGACAAGGTGAAGGACGCTCCAAAGTAACATCCTTTTTGTTTTCTCTGCTCCTCTCTCCTACCCTTGCCATGACTAGGAGCCCCTCTGAACCAGACCACCGCCAATGCCGGCATCTCCTCTGGGTGTGTCTGCCCTTTGCTCCCGGGTCTGAGGACCGCCTGGGAGTGGACACTGGGCGGGCGACCCCCACATCCTGGGGTGGCTGCTCCTCCAGGTTCGGGGCCACCCAAGCTGGGCATCGTGTTCAGGGGGCGCTCTACAGTTTCAGGGGCACCGGCTCCTACTGGCTCCTATCCACCTGGACAAGGTGAAGGACGCTCCAAAGTAACATCCTTTTTGTTTTCTCTGCTCCTCTCTCCTACCCTTGCCAGAAGCACGGTTTTCTCGTTTGGACTCTGCCCATTCCTCACTGCTTCAGGCCTGCCTCTTCCTCTCCCCCTGGGGGTGGGGGGCAGGACCCAGACCAGCTCCAGTTAAGAGCGGTCCTGGGTGGTAGCAGAGGCCCTCCCATCAGACTGGCGACCTGGGCGAAGACTGAAGGAGACTCTACGACTTCCCAAAGGTTACAGACCTCAGTACAACAAACCAAATCCGTCTGATCCCAATGTCACAAGGAAGGCTGGAGAGAAATCTCAATTTACTGCTTTAGTTGGAACAATCTTTCCAGCTGGGAGTGGGGGAGGTTGGGAGGGAAATGCAACTCAGATGCATATTCCCCCCCTCACCATCACTGCTCCAGTAAGAAAACCTGTACAAGAGTCCTCCCCTGCCTCCTCCTTCCTCCCTAACCCGGGCAGCAGTGTTCCTGGCAGCGTCAAAGCCTTGCACATCATCCGCAGGAGAACCAGATTCTCCCCTGGCTCAAGGGACGCTGGTGTTACCAGTGCTGGACGCGTTGACGGAGCAGCAGCTCACAGGGTCCCAAAGTGAAGCAGGGCACTGACTCTGTGAACTGCCAGCACTCCCGCCTCCCGCCCGGGCCCCACGGTGCAGACTTTGCACACGGTGTAGAGAGAGGAAGGACACGGCCTCCCTCCCCAGGCTCCAGATACTCCCAGAGGTCCCTCCCCGGAGGCTCGTCTCCTGATAGCAAGGACCTCTCCTTACTGGCTCTCAGGAGTGCGCCACCATCTGCTAAAGGGGACCACTCCGCAGTCCTTCTGAGGGACTGAATATTGGCCACTCGGAGGGCTCTGGACCAAAGAGTGAGTGATGGTCAGGTGGTATCGCAAATCATATGTCAGCGGGATACAACAATTAACACATCGATTTTATACGGTAAATTGGTACAGCTTGCTAAAGTGATGTAACAGTTAACTGTTACATTGGGGTAAGGATTCGAAGGCACACCAGGGCTTTGTGACCAGGTGACTTAGACAGACATCGTACAGAAGCAAGGGGTTCAGCGTTAGCAGAAACAAGTGTTAGAAAACAAAATGACGATGTTTTAAATCATCTATATTACAAAACAAGACCTATCTTCTTTAAAGAGATTAAGGTCTTGAAAGTGTTTTTAAAGATTGTAGAAAAATACATGGATGTTTCCTCCATATTTTTATACTCAGCATGTACTGGGTTGGCCGAAAAGCTTGTTCAAGTTTTCTGTAATGTTTTACGGAAAAACCCAAAGGAACTTTTATGATCAACCCAATACTAAACTGGCCATTTCCATCCTCGTTTCCAGGAGATCCTTATGTTCGGGGTGGTTCAAAACAGAAGCCCAAGTCCATCCGGGCTGAAGGCCCACCACACCGCATGCTGGGGACCAGTTCTACATCTATCGTGGGCATTACCTGTCCCATCCATGATGTCGGCAGGTTGGAGCACCTCGTATGAGCAGGGATCCCTGGGCATCGGGACTGGCTCCATTTCGGACAGGGCGGGCAGAGACAGCTGGCTGGAGCTCAGGGACTGCCCGTTTTCCAGGGAGTCATCTTCATTCGATATGGAGAGCTCCCCGTCTGTTGGCGTGAGAAGGAGACCGCAGAGTTAGACGTGCCTGCCTCGCAGGAAAGAGCAATACTTACAGCCTGCTACCTGAGTCTGGACACTTTTGAACAATCTTCATCAAGACCAGAACATAAAGTCTGCACTCGTTATTTTGCCTTTAAGGCATCGAAACACCAGGGAAACTATTTCCAATGACCTTCAGTAATGTGCCTGTTTTCTCTCCATCTTTCTAATCATCAACAGATGAATGGGTAAAAAAGACGGGCTATGTGTGTATATATAAAATATATATATATATATATATATGGAATATTGTGAAAGTGTAAAGTCACTCAGTCATGTCTGACTCTTTGCAACCCCATGGACTGTTGTCTGCCAGACTCCTCTGTCTATGGAATTTTCCAGGCCAGAATACTGGAGTGGGTAACCACTCCCTTCTCCAGGGGATCTTCCCAACCCAGGGATCGAACCCAGATCTCCTGCAGCACAGGCAGATTCTTTAACGTCTGAACCACCAGGGAAGCCCATATGGAATATTACTCAGCCATAAAAAAGAATGAGGGAATGCCATACACAGTAACATGGATGAACCTAGAAATCATCATACTGAGTGCAGCAAGCCAGACCGGGAAAGACAAGTATCATACGATATTGCTTACATGGAATTAAAAAGAAAAAGATACGAATGACCTTGTTTACAAAACAGACACTCACAGACATAGAATGCAAACTTATCATTACCAAAGGGGAAAGGGAGTAAGGAGGGATACATTAGGAGGTTAGTATTAACATATACATTCTACTATATATAAAATATATAAATAACAAACAAGAACCTACAGTATAGCACAGGCAACTATATTTTTGTAGTAAACTATAAGGGAAAAAAAATCTGAAAAGAATATATATATATATATATATACACACACACACACACATATATATGTATAACTGAATCACAGTGCTATATATCTGAAACTTAACACAGTATTGTTAATCAACTGTATTTTAAACTTTTAATATTTAAAAACATTTACAAAATTTTTAACATTTTAAAAATGTCAAAAAAAATCATAATCTACCATGTTTTATACTTGTTTTTTAAACAAAAATGAAAACCAAAATTTCTTCATCATTTTTTGAAAACCTGGAAACACTGAGCAGGACCCAGAGATGGAAAACGAGGTCAGGAATTCCTACTTCGGGGAGCAAAAGGCTTCAGGCACTCAACAAGCATGGGGACCTGGAATGTCAAGGCCTGAGGAAAGCCTCGCCCTGTCTTCTTGGCCCCTCTGCCCACACCCAATCTCTCCAAGTAGACACACGAGCAGGTTCTGGGCTTCAGCTGCAGGGCTGCAATGGCCCAGAGACGCGGGGAGGTGCCAGGATTCTCCTGGTCCCACCAGTGATCCTGCCAGGCAGGGTACCACTTTGATCTTGTCAAAGCTCAGCAAGACAAGGAGCAGCCAGTTAACACCGAGGTGGAGGATCAAAGGCTCCTACACAACGGCCGTTTGTCAAATCAAAACTCCCTGGGTGTGATTTCCTCCTAGCCCAGGGGAGTCCTAGATAGCTAGACATTAAAGTCAAATTAAGTTTTAAAGAGGACTGAAAGCTGTTCCAGCCAGATGAATAAATATCCAGATGAAAGGCTCTAAGTTATGTTTGGGCAGAAACATAGAAACCAGCAAAGCAATTACCTGCCTTACAACGAGAAGATAGATGATTTACTTGAAGAAATACAACAGTGAAATGACTCCATGGTTAATCATGGATAAATAAGCCTTTCCTTTTGCTGTGTTCCTCCCAAGGCTTTAATTTTATACACAATGATGATACGGCAGCAAAAGATTCCTCTACCCACCCCCTTTCCTCCTCATTTAGAATTGGTTTGATGAAACGCATGCTCAACAGAGCGATTTATAAACTGACAGGCTTTAGGTAGCATATGGTTCAAGGACATATGATATTTGACCTGAAATTTTATACACATAGAAAAAAAAAATATAATGGACATCAAAAAGCACTTGAAGCAGTCAATTTAAAGCACTAATTTTTGAAGACTGTGGGTTTATTTTTTCTTTCTTTTCACTTGGCCTTTAAAAATTTTTTTTTAAATTGGGTTTTTGTTTGTTGTTGGTCATGCTGCTTAGCATGTGCGATGTTAGTTCCCCAGCCAGGGATGGAACCCATGCCCCCTGCAGTGGAAGTGCAGAGTCTTGGCTCCTGGATGGCCAGGAAAGCCCCTCACGTGGCCTTTTTCTATGTCTCCAATGGAAGCAGTAGTCACTATAATCATGATTAACAATACGGCTATGACTTCTCATTCCTAAGAGCAGAGCAGACTGCCAGGCCAAGGCTCTGGGAAACAGTCAGCTGAACTGAGGAGTACCCAGGACGGGAAGAGCCGCGGTTATGAGCGTTAACGCAGCACCAGCCCACGACGGACAGTCCCGGGGCCTTTACTTTGGCGTGTTCACATGGACAGCATGGGAAGCAGCTCTGCTTCAGGTTCCCCGCCGGTGGAATAATGATGGAATTGACGTCAGGCTTACTCTATCTCTGGGAAACCATTCTGATCTTGGATGTTCCCAGTATAGTAAAAGTACTGGCTTACAACGGCCAGAGGAGGAGGGGTTTCTGGGTTGTTGCCATGTTTTGCTGCTTTGGGGCAAAGATGTGATGGAATGATCGCTATATATTTTAGCTCCTTATGTCTAAGAACTGTAGATGCAACATTAGGGGGAAGAAAAGATAGAACAGCAGTATCGTTAGGGTTACACAGCAGCAATGTACAGACCACACAGATTTCTGGGTTTTTGGTCATTTATTCAGTATCAACATTGATAACCATGTTTTATCTATCTACATAGCTACTTACCTACATATATATGCACATATCTGGTAGAAATAAATTAAAACCATGCAATAAGTACACATTCATTATTGATATCACTTACGACTAAGATAATGACAAAAATGAAACCTGATTTGGATTTATATAACATGGGGATTAAAAAGATGCCGCTGTTAAAGTAACTGTTATTTTTTAAATTCTTATGATGTTTTCAAATGTACACAAAAGTAGAATCATGAATGTAACGAACTCCATGCACTCATCATCAAGCTATGAGGAATTATCTGGGAATTCCTAAAGCTTAGTAACTTCAAGTTTGATTCATATAAAGACTAATTTATTGATGTATAGTTGAGTCACAATGTTGTATTAATTTCTACTGTAAAGTGATTCAGTTATTATATATAATATATATACACACACATGCATACATACACACACACATATATATACACATACACAGGTATATATACACATACATTCTTTTTTCATATTCTTTTCCATTATGGTTTAGCACAGAATACTCAGTATAGTTCCCTGTGCTATTTATACAGTAGGACCCTGTCATCTATCTACCCTAAATATAATAGCTTGTATCTCTGAAGACTGTTTAGGCTCTCCATGTCTTTTTACTATTTACCAGTTCTGTTATCAGCACATTACTAGCATTTTAAAAATAAGCATCAAAAGAAAAAACTGTTTTCCCTCCCAGGAAGCATTTAACTCTCCTGAATAAAATGAGTCTTACGGAATATTTCTACTTTCATCTATCAAGATCATCACAGTCTCTTAGGAATTTTACTCTTTTTGATGCAATGGTAAACGGAATTGCTTCCTGAATGTCTCTTTCTGATCTTTCATTGCACAGTCTCTTGTTACTATGAACGAGCAAAGGCTCATTGAGTATTAGAAATCATTTTGATGTTCTACATGATCGTCTAAAATTACCTGCAACAATGGTTTTCAAAATGGTACAATCACCTCCAGGCATTAGGACATTTCCACACTTATTTCCTAGTAAAGTGTGGCAAGGAGGAAGGGAGAAGGCAGGAGGAGACCAGACAGGTTAAGGTTCTCAAACTTTCACGGGCATCACAATTTCCTGGTGGGCAGTTAAAACACAGATGACAGGGCCTTACTCCCAGAGTCTCTGACCCAGGAGGTTGGCATGGAACTGAGAATACGCGTGTCTAATAAATTCTTGGGTGATGCCAAAGCTGCTTTTGCTGGTCAGGGTTTCACACTTTGAGAACTACTGGACTGGAGGTAAGGAACTGGACAAGCAAGAGAACCCAGAACAGCAACAGTGCCTTTTCAGTGATGAGTGTAGGGTGATGAGGTGTAGGGTGGGAAGTGTCGTTCATGGGGCTAACATGGAACAGAGGCGGTTGGCTTAAATCTCAAAGAGAAGGTGAGAGGCTGCGTGGTCTAAGCATGGGTTACAAACTTGTCACGAAGGGCGGTGGCACTGGAGAGAGCACCAGGGTGGGGGAGAAAAGTAAAGACGAGCCGGGTGCAGACATGCCCAACACGGGCGCATCTGGTCACAGAGGCGCAGAGAAAAGAATGCAGGAGTGAGTGCACGTCAAAGGCACGGCAAATGATGAGACGTACTGAGCAGCAATTGAGATGGAGACCTGGCCGTGGGCATGGTGCCAGTCACTGCCTTCTCTTCCTTGTGGGGCACAAGCAGTGAAGACGCTGGTAAGTCAGGCTTACACCAAGTTAAGGAGAGTGAGGGGAGAGGTGAGAGGGAAAGAATTCATTTGACAGACAAACACCTACTGAGACCCTATTGTTAACAACGCGGGATCACACCCACCAAGCCTCACTAACAGATCTGCTATGAGCTCCTTAGGGTACCTGGGGAAACCACTGTGAGGGCGGCTGCCTCCGAAGGCCTGGAGCTGAACCATGTTCTGCCCTACCCCTCCTGCCACAGGCCAGGCATTGTGCTAGATGCTAAGGAGGCAGCAGACCTGCCCTGGGGAAGGAGGGAGGCAAGACGGGTGCAGAAATGCAGACAGGGAGAATCGGTGTAAGCGAGCTGGGGCTGGGAGGAGGAAAAGCAGCAAGCGTGAGAAGTTAAGCCCTGAGAAACAGAAGAAGAAAAATAAGAGGCGAAGAAAGGGAGCGGATGTGTGTTCGGAACAG